GGGGCGACCATCCAGGGAGGACGACCAGCGGCAGCTCGTGATGGAGAGCCAGGAAACGGTGTTGGGTGACCAGCGGCGGTGTAGGAGCTGGGCGAGCTGATGTTGCGGCAGTTATCATCGTTGCGGCACTGGGCGCCGCGATCCCAGCCATGAACCAGCATGACGGGGCGGAGAACTCGAACGCAGCCTTGGAGGCGGCGTCAGATGAGCCCGCTGAACCTCGCAGCGGCGAAGGCCCAGCGGGGGGGGGGCGCCGCCGCCCAGCTTGGGCGCGGCTGAGGAGGCAGAGCAAGAGACACGGGAGGAGCAGGAGGGCAAGCCTCCAGGGGGCGACGAGGCGATCCCGCCAGAGCCCAGACCTCCCTTGTGGAACGTGAACATCGGCTCTACGCACGTGCTCTGCGCGGCGGGCCCGAGGGTGTTCTGCGCGGCGTGCGGCTTTAACGCGGCGTCGACGAGGGTCATGAACCTGACGGAGCCGTGCCCGAGGAGGGCGGTGGACCGCAAAAGAGATGCCCTAAGGAGGCTGCAGCGCGGACTGCGCCCGTCGCGGTCGGGCTGGCTCGGTGACCCGGTGGCGGTGGTGAGAAGGCCAGGGCACCGCCGCCGCAGTCCACCGAGAGAGGCCCAAGGATGAGGCTTGCTCGTTCCTGCGCGGCGAGGCTTCCCGCGCGAATCCAGGTGCAACGCTGGATCGCTCGAACTCCTGGTCGCGTCGGCCCTGCGGGGGCTGGCGGTGGGCGTTTCCTGGTGGCGGGGGTGCCGCCCCTTGGCCCGCGGGCCTGTGCGGGGGCGGGGCCCCATTGCCGTGGCTCCTGCTGGCCTCGGGCAGCAGGGGGCAAGGCGGGGGACGTGGTTTCCTGGGCGTCGGGGTGTCTCCTCGTCGCCTGTTGCGCTGAGGATCTGCTCGCGCAACTTGAATGCGTGTCGCGCAGCTGTCGCCTCTGTCTGAGGAGGCTGCCACCACCACCACCACCGTCCTCCTCTTCCTCCTCCTTCGCATCATCATCATCAATCATCATCATCATCATCATCATCATCATCATCAGCAGCATCATCATCATCAGCATCGTCATCATCATCGTCATCGTCATCGTCATCGTCATCATCATCAGCAGCATCATCATCATAATCATCACCACCATCAGCATCAGCATGAGCATTAACATCATCATTATAATCAGCATCATCAACATCATCGTCGTCATCGTCATCGTCATCATCGTCACCATCGTCACCATCACCATAGCCATCAGCATCCTTACGCTCCTCCTCTTCATCCTTCCCATCCTCGTCAGCATCATCAGAAGCATCGTCCGCATCATCGTCTTCATCAACACCATCACCATCACCATCACCACCACCACCACGGTCATCATCATCAACAGCATCATCACCAGCATCAGCACCACCATCATCACAAGCATCAACATCAGCCTCAGTACCAGCATCATCATCTTCATCGTCATCATCGCCATCGTCTCCATTGTCATCATCACTATCATCATCAGCATTGCCATTTTTCTCATCATCCTCTTATTCATCTGCATCACCATCATCAAACGCATCGTCAACATCATCGTCTTCAGCAACACCCTCACCGTCACTACCACCACCGCTATCATCATCAGCAGCATCACCGCCAGCATCAACATCATAGCCAACATCAGCCTCATCACCAGCAGCATCTCCAGCATCAGCATCAGCATCAGTATCGCCACCATCGTCAATGCCATCATCATCGTCATCGTCGTCATCGTCATCACCTTCATTACCAAAATCAACACATGTTGTTCTCATAATCGCCATCAACATCCACAACCTTCTCCGTGCCCCCCCTCACCATCATCAGCAGCATCCCCAGCACCACCAGCTTCGTCAATACCATCACAATCATTATCACCACCTCTATCATCATTATCTCCATCACCATCATCGTCATCAGCATCATTATTATAATCACCATCAACACCAACATCACCAACACCAACCTTCACTATTCTCATCGGCCTCACCATCCTCCATCATCCGCTTAACTGTTCCTCATCCTGCTCCCGTCGGCTCTCCCTGCCCCTTCCCCGCCTGCGACGTCCCCCATCGCCCCCGAGGGCCCTTGACGCGCGGGGAACACCCATACGAGGCCCTGAAACATGTTCTTCTAACGCTCTCTGCACACTCACCTCCTCCCTACTTCTCCTCAAACCTCAGCCTACCTCCCCCTTCCTCCTTGTCACTATCGTATCCCTCCCTCTGCGATAGTCAAGACGGTCTCTGACCAACGATAAGCGCACAAACACACACACACACGCGCACACACACACACACGCACACGCACACACGCACGCACGCACCCCCACGCACGCACGCCCGCACACGCCCGCACACGCCCGCACACGCCCGCACACGCCCGCACACGCCCGCACACGCCCGCACACGCCCGCACACGCCCGCACACGCCCGCACGCGCACGCACGCGCACGCACGCGCACGCACACACACTACATTCACGCACGCGCACGCACGCGCACACACACACACGCACGCACACCCTCACACACACACACACGCACAACATACACACACAACACACACGCACAACACACACGCACACACACGCACACACACACACGCACGCGCACACACACACACACACGCACACACACACCACACGCACACGCACACGCACACGCACACGCACGCGCGCACCCGCACACGCACACGCACACGCACACCCGCACACACACACGCACACGCACACACGCACACAACACTCGCACACGCGCACGCACACTCACACGCATCCGCACCCGCACACACACGCACACACGCACCACGCACACGCACACGCACACGCACACGCACACGCACACACGCACACGCACAAGCACACGCACACGCACAAACGCACATGCCCCCCCCGCACACACACAGACACACGCACACGCACCCACACACGCACACTCAGACGCACACACACACCACACGCACACATACACCCACACAAAACAACACACACGCAACCACACACACTCATATATACACACACCCACACACACCACGCACACACACGCACACACACACGCACACACACGCACACACACGCACACAGCACGCACAACGCACGCACACACACACACACGCACACGCACACGCACACGCAACGCAACGCACACACCACACACGCCACACACGCACACACACTGCACACACGCACACACACGCACACACGGAGACACAGCACCACACGCACACACGCACCAACCGCACACACCCACACACGCCACACGCACCACACAGGAAACCACGCACGCACGCACACACGCACACACGCAGACACACACACACGCCACGCAACGCAACCACGCACACACGCACACACGCCACACGCACATACACACACAGCACAAACGACACACGCACACACGCACACGCGCACACGCGCACACGCGCACACGCGCACACGCGCACACGCGCACACGCGCACACGCGCACACGGCACACGCGCACACGCGCACACGCGCACACGCGCACACGCGCACACGCGCACACGCGCACACGCGCACACGCGCCCACGCGCCCACGCGCACACGCGCACACGCGCCCACGCGCCCACGCGCACACGCGCACACGCGCACACGCGCACACACGCGCACACGCGCCCACGCGCACACGCGCACACGCGCACACGCGCACACGCGCACACGCACACACGCACACACGCACACACGCGCACGCACACACGCACACACGCACCACGCACACACGCACACACGCACACACGCACACGCACACACGCGCACACGCACACGCACACGCACACGCACACGCAAACGCACACGCACGCGCACACGCACACGCACACGCACACGCACACGGCACACGCACACGCATACGCACACGCACACGCCACACGCGCACAAACACATCACATGCACATGCACAGCACAACAACACCCACACACACACACACACACGCGCGCGCGCGCGGCGCGCGCTCCCACCCCCCCCCCCCCCCCCCCCCCCCCCCCCCCCCCCCCCCCCCCCCCCCCCCCCCCCCCCCCCCCCCCCCCCCCCCCCCCCCCCCCACACACACACACACACACACAAACACAGACACACACACACACTCACTCACAGACACACCGTCTCTCTCTCACACACACGCACACCCACGCACAACCACGCACGCAAGCACGACCGCACGCACACCAACGCACGCGCACACGCACGCACACGCGCACGCGCACGCGCACGCGCACGCGAACGCGCACGCACCCGCACACGCACACGCACACGACCGCGCCCGCGCTCGCCTGCGCACGCACTCACGCACACACACACACACACACACACACGCACACGCACACGCACACGCACACGCACACGCACAAGCACACGCACACGCACTCGCACACGCACGCGCACACGCACACACACACACACGCACACGCACACGCATACGCAAACGCACACGCACACGCACACGCGCACGCGAACGCACTTCCACACCCACATACACCCATACACCTCCCCCCCCCCCACACACACACACACACACACACAACAAACACACACACACACACACACACACACGCCACACTCACCACACAAACACACCACACACACAACGCTCACAACACACACACACACACACACGCACACACACACACTTTTCGTCAACGGCGAGGCGGCGAACTCCGCTCCAGCGATAAGCTAGTAGGCGCACTATTTGCGAATTGGCACACGCACACGCACATCCAAGCACACACACACACACATCCACACCCGCTGCCGACCATGAGCAAGTCGACGATGCGGGAGGAGACCAGGACGACCATCCACCTCCGCCTCCTCCTCCTCCTGCCACCTCCAAGGGGGCAAGCTTTCGCCTGCAGCTCTCCCGTCCCCCGCTCCCTCGTAGCGCCTGCCGTCGCCCCCCCCCCCCACCCCCCCACCCCACCCTCCCCCTGGGCCCTTTGCAGGAGGGGCGGCTTCGGCGCCTCTCCCTCAAGGCCCAGCTGCTGGCGAACCTGCGGGTGCGGTGGGCGAAGGGGGAAACACGATACGGCAGGAGAAGGATGAGGATGATAGATGGAGGACAGGAGGAGGATACGAGAGGGACATGTGGAGGATGCGAGGAGGAGGAGGAGGCGGAGGAGGAGGAGGAGAAGGAGGAGGAAGAGGAGGAAGAGGAGGAGGATGCGGAGGAGGAGGAGGTGGTGGTGGAGGAGGAGGAGGAGCAGGAAGAGGAGGAGGAGGAGGAGAAGGAGGAGGAGGAGAAGGAGGAGGGGGAGGGGAAGGAGGAGCAGGAGAGGAGGAGGAGGAGGACGAGGAGGAGGGAGGAGGAGGAGGAGGAGGAGGGAAGAGGAGGAGGAGGAGGAGAAGGAAGAGGAGGAGGAGGAGGAAGAGGAGGAGGAGGAGAAAAATGGGGAGGGGGATGAATGAGGAGGAGGAGACAAAGCAGGTGGAGGAGGGTGGGATGGGGGTGGATTAGGAGGAGGAAGAGAAGGAGGAGGAGGAGGAGGCGGAGGAGGAGGAGGAGGAGAGGAGGAGGGTGGAGGATGAGGAGGAAGGAGGGGAGGAGGAGGAGAGGAGGAGGAGGAGGAGGAGGAGGAGGATGAAAAGGGGAGGAGGAGGAGGAGGAGGAGGAGAGGAGGAGGAGGAGGGGGCGGAGGGAGGAGCAGGGAGGAGGAGGAGGAGGAGGAGGAGAGGAGGAGGAGGAGGAGGAGGAGGAGGAGGAGGATGGGGAGGAGGAGCTGGAAGAGGAGGAGGAGGAGGAGAGCAGAAGGAGGAGGATCAAAATGAGGAGGGGGATGAGGAACAGAAGGAGGAGGAGAAGGCGGAGGAGGAGGAGGAGGAAGAGCAGGAGGTGGATGGGACATGGAGGGATTAGGAGGAGGAAGAGGAGGTGGAGGCGGAGGAGGAGGAGGATGAGGTGGAAGAGGAGGAAGAGTAAGGGGAGGAGGAGGAAGCGGAGGAGGAGGAGGAACAGGAGGAGGAGGATGGGAGAAGGAGGGTGATGATCATGACGAGGAGGAGAAGGATGAGGAAAAGGAGGGGGGCTTCTTTCCCATGCACGTGCGCGCGTGGGCCACATATGACCACAATCCAATTGCAATTCAAACACAAGAAAAACTATGCAATCTCCGCCACTCGTGAGCAGGAAGAGGAGACGGGACCGTTGGCAGTCGCGCCTCCGATGGGCTCTCGCGATCACGCGTATTCGACGAACTGACACTCCCTCGCCACGACCTCCAGGCAGGCGCAGTTTGCTAACTCCAGGGCATCGAAGCTGGCGGTCATCTCGAGCGCTCGGATACTGTTCTCGTGCACCTGTACGCCCCAGTCTCCGCGCAGGAGCCGATTGACACCAAGCCAGATGATCGCCAAAGCCCCCGCCGCGTCAGTCGATGAACCTCGTGGCCCACTCGACCGTGTGGGGGCCCTGGATGCCGTGGAGGGCGTCACCACCGATCGCCCCATGACGTGTCGCCACGTGCGCCTCTGCCTGCGATCGCCCAGCACCTAAGGGCATCACACGGGCATCACCACTGCTCTCGCTGCGCATGAGGGCCAGCACCTCGCCGAACGGGAGCCGACGGGGCCTGGCGCAGCGCCAGGCACCTGGTACAGGCCCGCGTCGCCCACCGTCGGCATCCCAGTTTCCGGGAAAACCATCATCCCGCGCTTTAGCCCGTGCCAAGTCTCGCTGACGAACCTCGCGAACTCCTCGGCATAGGGGGGGGGCCGCGGCCGCTCCGGCCGTCGCGCCAGCCGCGCCCGCGGCTCCCGCTGCCACGGGCGCTGCAGCGGCTTGCCCAGCCCCTCCCAGCACGGCTCCTCCGCACACGGGTCGAACTCCTCCGTCGGCCTCGCCAAGAAGCCTCGGCGCGGCCAGAGGTGCTCGGGCGACGGCGCTGGCAAGAGGAAGCAGTGCACATCCCACAGGCTCTGCGCCTGGCCCTCCGTTGCGCCTGTCGCGCGCCACTCGTGCATCTCGAGCTGCCGGCCTTGCTTGACGTCGGAACTGCAGGTGCTCGGCGGGCGTGATCCCGCGGCGGAACCTGTACGAATCACGCGGCACACTTGGCGGGGGAGGGCGTCGGGAGTGGCTCTACCTCACACCTGCGATGTTGGGGTCGGTACTCCCGTCGATATCGCAGTACGCGTCCCCGTCCAGGGTAATGATTATGAGTTCAATCGCTGCCGCTGGACCCACGCCCACTCGCGCACAATCTGGGCCATCACGAAGAGCAGGAAAGCGCGGGGCGAGGTAGGCCAGCCAGACCGTCCAGCGGCCTCGCGCAAGCACGCCGACGGCCAGCAGCACTCCGTGGAAGAACACGCCCCCGCCCCCGCCGAGCGAGACCAGGACCAGCCCGTCGGCCCAGCTGGCAAGCCCCAGCCCCTCGACGGAGGGCGGGGGTGGCGGCGGTTGCGCGCGCGCCGCCCCGGCTGCCGAAGAGGGAGCCTCCTCCGTGGGGACCGCCCTGTCCTCCT